TTGTAGTAAATTGACTGATAAAGTGAAACTAACATACCATCAAAATATAAATCAATTGTATCTTCATTATTCCCTCTTTCTATTAATTGAGTTGCTTCAGCAACTATCTTTCTTCTATCAACGAGTTCTGGGTGATACCTTGCTATCTGCAATAAAGTAGAACAACATATATCATTAGTATCATTAAAGAATAGAAACAAATGATCAATAGAAGAGGCTTCCAGAATATTTGGAATTACTTTGCCATTGATTGGGTTTAAAAATAAATACCAAATATTTTGAATAACATCTACTTGCAATTCGTGAACTGCTTGCTGTGAGATACTATTTTTGCAGTAATCTATAATATTTGGATCTAGTAATTTCGCCCAAACTTTACCAATTTCAATCTCAATTGCTTTCTCTGTGAATTTGTCATTGAAATATCTTGCCAAGCACACGAATAAATCCTTTACTGTTTGAAAATCACTCAACTCAATATCAAATAAATTCTTGTAATATTCTAAATTTTTAAAAACATGATTATAATTGTAATCCTCTCTTTTTCTCTTTCCGAAATTTTGTGATTGAGCAATTTTCGATCCAATACGACAAGCGTTGATTAACTTTTCCCTTTCCTTTTGATTTTGACGCTTCCGATAGAATTCAGCAACATCTTCTTTTTCCATTTTTTTTAAATATTAATTTAAAATTATTTTTGGCGCGAAGTGAGCTTTATTGCAGCTATTTTGATAAGGGCTGATGAATATTTGAATGATTACCTTACAAGTTCCATTATTTTGATAGTGAGATGAAAACAAAAGCACTCTAAATAAGCTTGGTTTTGATCGAACAGGAATTACAACACAGATAAAGCTCAATCTGCCCACGTTGTTGTGTATTCTTTTCATTGTATTCAAAGCAGTGATATCTGGTGAAGCAATTCACTATGGTCAACAAACCGTAACTCTTTCATTACATGTTTTCATCAAATATTGTTTTTCAACAAGAAAAAAATAGCTTCTTACATCACTCCTTACCATCTTCGCCATCAAAAATGTTGAACAACCACTACTAATCTTCTTTTACCTGATTTTATCAGGAGGAGAAATGATCATTTGCTTCCGTGTGCTTTTTTTGCATTACATTCTTCATCTTGAGAATAGTAATACTCTTTCATCTATAGCATTTCCTCTCGATGTTGCTTTGAAGAATATTCAGTCAGTAACGTATATCGGAGTGAATGAGCAATATTCAGGCTTCTTTTCAGTTTCTTGCCAGTTCCTCCTTATGATGGTTGTTTTATTCCTCGGTTCTACAGGTCATCCTTTGCGTACTGTTGACTGTGGAATCAACAAAGTTGTCAAATTCACCTTTCATCCTTTTAATTTTGTTGTTAATGGATAGCAATTAAAAATGTCTTTACTTGCTAGCAGGGCACAACTGAATTATCCTAGATGTGTTTTTGTTTCATCAAATAATGAAGTTTATATTGCTGATGAAGGTAATCAAAGAATTAGAAAAGTAGTAGAGAATGGAAATATTGTAACAATTGCAGGAAATGGAACTGTTGGATTCAGTGGTGATAATGGCCCTGCAACAAGTGCACAACTTTATTATCCTTCTAGTGTT